ATGGAACTTTAAATGAGTGAGTTCAAGCCCCCCATTCCTGCATGTATTTAAAGTCCATTCATGCAACTAGGATTGACTTCTGTGTCCATAGATTTGGAACTTGCTTCCTTTCCGTGACAATCACACAAATAACTAACCTCCTTTTTCTAGCTAAAATATGAAAATGAAGAAAAAATATGAGGTGCACAGAAAAGCTTTAGAGCAAGCAAAATCTGTCCATAGTATAAACATAAAGGGATTTTGGATTTATCTACAGTGGTGTGAAGGATAGAAATCTGGTTCACAATCTCTTCTGTCATTGCTGAGTTTGAAATCTACCCTGAGATTTTTCTTAATTAGAATTCTGTGCACCAACAGTAAACTATGCTACAGAGCTTTTAATTAAAAAAAAAGAAAAAAAAAGGAATGATATAAACCCACGTTATCTCTAGGCGCTGCTTGTATTAAAGGATTATACTGATGAGATGTTTGGATTTTATTGTTCTTAACATGTGTTTCAGTTGGTGCTCTCGGACCTACAATGTGAAGAAAATGAAATGTAAGTAAACAGCCAGAGATGCTATGTTTTTACTGAGCATTTTAAAAATCCAGAGTAAAAAGGCTCACATCATTTGAAAAGCCCCAAATGAGTTTCAAGTGATCATTCTAATCATGTAAGAACCCAAAAAAGTAAATAATTTTGAAATGCAGATGGCTCAATTTTTCTAAAAACGGGAAAGATCGTTTTCATCACGATCAGCTTTATTAAATAAATCAGAGGCCTGGTTGATGTCTAGGAATTTTTTGCTCACTGAATTTTGCTCCCATGAGGTATCAAGGGCACTTAAGTTCATGAAAAGTCAGTGACATCATCTCTGGCTGGGTCCGTACTCATAAGAGAGGAGGTCATTTTCTGCATAATTGGGTTTCACATACAAGCAAACTAACCAAAATTCTCACCTGTATTAAGTGTGCATTTCACAGTGACTTCGATATGAATTATGTGGTTAAAGGACTCGATCTTCCCACTTTTTGTGCTGGAGACTTCATGTTTCTCAGAATTCTACTGCAAGGGGTGGGAATAAGACATGCCACCAGTGATGACGCTGATGATTAACGGGACCTGTGATTAATGGGAGCTGAGAGTGTCACAGAAGCACTTCTGCCAAGCCCTGCTGTCTGCTGGTGCAGCCCTGGCGACCGGCAGCCAGGTATTTCCAGTTATCATTGACGAGGAACTCCAAGCCGGCATCTCTGGGCACTGCCTTTAGAGTAGGGAGTTCTTTTCTTGGCCCAGGAGTCATTCACCTGTTTCTGGCAGATCTTGTAGACAGTCTGCTAGCTCAGGGGTGCTGCTCTTCCAGCTTCTGCATGGCTCTCCAGCGCTGTTGCTTTGCATTCATTCTGGACCTGGTGTTTTTGCTCCGTCCTTCTGCTGTTCGTGACATAACAGGTTTTGGCATTTCTATGCTTCCAGGACTCTGGACTTCCCGGCTGTCTTCATCTTGCCTCCTCAGACTCTGCCATTGCTCAGAATAATAGAATAAACAAAAAATTCACCATTGGAAAGAGTTTTTAATGTTACATCTAACTCTATAATCAATATGACAGGAAGATAGGGTATTGAGGAAATTTTTATGCTGACTTTAGAGTCACTGAGACTATTGACACCCTTTCCAGGTGGAAAAAGTGGAGGCCCAGAGATAATAAACTAATGGAAAGACTTCAACTGGTGCCTAGGTATATAGATTTCTGGCTGCATCATTTGACATTGAAGTATCTGTTATGTTTATCTCTACTTAATGCCATTACTTTAGAGTGAAAAGAAGAAATTTCTTTTTTTAAATTTTTTATTGGAGAGGTCTTCGCTATAGGGCACGTGCGCTCAACAGGCAGACAGAGACATAGAGACAGAAAGCAAGAAATCACCCCCCAGGGGGGATGGTAACACCACAATCCCTTTTCCTCCATTCTCCTCTCGGGGTCTTGGGCACACACGCACACGCACCCGGCGTGAGTTTTAAGCCACCAGGTCTGGGACGCGAACCACGGTCAACTACGTGGGAGTCCAGCGACATAGCCATTACGCTAACTGCTGGTCCCCAAAGAAGAAATTTCTAAATAAAATGGAAGTTGACACAAAACAGACCCATAGAAGGCAAGACGGTGGCTGAAATGGAGAAGAGATAGTATAACGTAAACAAATGTAAGGTGGACACGATATTGCAGATCTTCTGCTAGCATGAGACAGTATTAGTGGAACGAGTCTACAATGAAGGACAAGTTGTTTCTGAAAGGGTAAGGTTTCCCCTCCCATCCCTTCCCGAACAAATCCTTTCTCTTCCTATATTTATTTAAGAGATTTTTAGTTGGCAATCGTGTCTTTGATCTGAGATACCATTTCCTGTTAAAATATGCTACCTGGCCAGAGAACATATTCATTCTTTGTCAACATTGCTGCAAAAGAATAACACAAATGCAGCAGATTACAGCTGAAAGGTTTCATCCAAATGGTCTACTCCAAACGTCCTTTAGAAATGAGCAACAGATGGACAGCAACTTGCCCAAAAATGTACATAAAAATAAACATAGAAAAGGGAAACTCAGATTAGAATGTGAGAGGATAGAGAAGGAAAACCTGAAAATGGAATGAAGGATTGCCAAGGCGGAATCCAGAGAGGGGGGAGTCTCTGTTTAACCAGAAATAACACTTTTATTAATCAACGTCTGCATCCTAAGAGTCCTGCAAAACCATCTAGATATGTTTTCTATTAAAACGGAGTTATTATTTCCTCTATTTACCTTTGTCTACGAACATTAACTTTTTTCCTAATCCATCTTACATATTTTGTTTTTTTAACTCCGCTCTGTATATTGGCAAGGCATTGCAATGCTGTCTTTGCGTAAATTGTAAGTACTGTAATTAATTTATTATGTGAAATAAAATAGGCTGGAGCTTACCCTTGGAACCCATTCCCCTCCCTGTAAGTAACCAAGTCACTTATGTGCATGATGGTACATAAACAGATTGATTTACAAACCGTACACATGACATTACGTATATAGGATTTTCTAAATCAGTTCATTAATAGATTTCCTAGTAATATGCGAGTGTCTAACCTGGCAGGGTGACATTGTGTATTTCACTCAAGAGCAAGCTAGCGAGTTAAGAGGAGAGCTCGGATGTGTATCTAGAACCGACTCCTGAGCCTAGCATTTTAACTCCAAAGCCATATCATAAATCCAACATTTATCTAGTTACACATGTGGTGACATCTCTGCGGGCTATGTAATACACTCCAGCCATTCTTCCAAAGACTATAGAATTTAACACCCATTTCTGGGTGATACGATTTGATACCCATTCCTCCTCCAAATAATTGTAGCCAGATTGTACTTTGGCCTATTTTCTGGAATGATTTTTAAAAAGAAAGAAAAATAGACAGGGTATTTGTTTGTTTGCCTTTACTCTAAGAGTACTGTAGGAAACATTGCTTCTCTGGTTAACTATGTTCTCTTATTTGTTTGTTTGTTTGCCTTTACTCTAAGAGTACTGTAGGAAACATTGCTTCTCTGGTTAACTATGTTCTCTTTATGAGGGCGCAGAGTTTGAATCTTTCTCTGGTTTCTATTCCAGGGATAGCTGCTCATCTGGTGAATAATGCGGTTCGTTTAGTTAATTTGAGAGGAGACTATATAGCCAGTTCTCTCTGTCATCCCATTAGACACGAGAAAGCTCAAGCCAGAGCCGGAGTTCCTTTCTACTTTTCTATGTGGGATTTACTACATCCTGTTTACAAAACTGATCCCTTTCTTGGCTCGTTCTCTTTGCCCGATGCTCTCCATGCTCTCACTGCTCGCTTTCACTCTCTCTCTCTGTATATTTATTATTTCCTTAAAGCATTTTGCAGCACAGGCTATCGGATGCATTCAGACGGGGCTCTGCTCAGCAATACGAGGCTGAAGCTGGCTTTTGCTGTTCCCTGGTGCAGTGTTGCTTGGTGGTAGGAGACGTGGACTCCACCGCCGGAGTATTTGGCTTTAAGACCTGCCTCTGCCACTTCCAGCTCTATTTTTTTGGCAAGTTACTTAACCTCTCTAGGACCGAGTTTTCTCAATTATAAAAGGAAGATTATAGTAATGTGGCCTTGCCTTTTAGCACTATAAATTTGAAGTGAGTGATTTTATATAAAGTTAAACCCCTGGCTTAGAAGAGAGTCTGGCGTAGGAAATGTGGGGTGATGGAAGGAGAGGAGCCAACGGAATAACTCTGTGGGTTTTTCTTAAATGTATCAAGGTGATGGATTTATAGTTGACCTTAGGTCAACAGATTGTCGGCAACGAGAAGAAAAATAATGGTCAACTCGTCTAACTCTTTGTGTAAAGTAGGAATCACATGCACAACATCAAGTAAAGACAGGACTGGTGATTCTGGTAGGAACCCTGTTTTCTCCCAGATCGCACCAGATCTGAGACTTAAACCGCAGCTGACTACATGGAAATCCAGCAACGTAACCGTGCAAATGTCTTACTTAAACATTACAGACAGACTTCACATTTCCCTCAACTTTTTAAAAAAGGATTGTCTTCCCAATACCAGTACCTGAGAAATGGCATATTTAAAAAATATATCATTTTACTCTGAAGATCTTGTACCAAAAATTTGAGTAATTAGAATGCTGCTAGAATTCAGACATTTTTCATTTTTACTTTTTAAGAACTCAAAGAATTACCATGTAAAAATTTAATTTGAGAAAGAAATAGAAATATTGGTTAAACGTGAGGAAGGGAAACAGTCAGAACATCCATTTTCTAATGAAAGTTCCTGACCATTGAGTGACATCCTCGCTTTATTTTTCTAGTCTAGGTATGAATTGTATAATATGTAAAAATATGTCAATGGGTGAAAGAAATAACATCAAAGATGGCTGCAATTCTGAAAATGCTTGATCACTACATTTCTTGAGCTAACTGCTTCCTGGCTATTTTACTACTTATCAGAACTTCCACCAGAGGGCGCTCCAGCTCAGAAAGGGAAAGAACAAATCCAACTGGTTAACTGCTAGTACTAGAAAAACGATTGAGTGGTTCAAAATTTTGAATTAAGAAATAAAATAAGGTAGTTGATATTTAGAATTAAAACTTAATTGTATAGTCTATTTTAAAATGAAAAAAAAGAGAAGCAGAAGTTTATATATGGACGGAGGTGAAATAATTCACACTCCTGGTCATGAACTTACATGTCAAGATTCAAAAACAAGAACCCTTTGATCTTTAATTGAGCCAGGACATAAAGTGAATTTCTCTTCATTCATCTATAAAGTAAGATAGTACATTTTTAAGATTTAAATACTTTCAATACAATATCTCAATGGTTTTTGACTATGAAGTGATGAATATTATAAAAATACCAAGAACATGAAAATATTCAAAATATAAAGTTTCTTATAATATCATCTTCAAGATAAATAAACACTATTTTTTAAGCGAGAGAGATTTTGCAATAGTGTGTGTGTGCTTGCCAAAGAGACAGAGACACAGAGAGACAGAAAGCAAGAATTCACCCCCCCAGAGGGGATAGCCATGCCACAATCCCTTTTCCTCCATTCTCCTCTTGGGATCTTGGGCACGCACGCACATGTGCCTGGTGTGAGTTTTAAGCCACCAGATTTGGGACTTGAACCGCAGTTGACTACGTGGAAATCCAGCAATGTAACCATTCCACCACTTGTAGGTCCTGAGAAATAAGTAATTAAATAAGCACTATTAGTAGTTTAATTTATATTTAACAAGTATTTACTTTGGTGAAACCATTGTATTTATATAAAAGGATATATACAAAGTAGAGTTTATTTCCCTATATTATTTTACTTAACAAGAGTTGTAATTATAAACATAAATATGCATTACCAGATAATATTCCTTTGTAAGAATGTACTAACTATTTTTAAAGACCTTAATTGATTATCACTCATTTGAGGTATTTCTAAAATAATAGTTCAAATCCATTTTCTCTCAGGTATTTGTACCTTTAAACTTAGCTAAACCCTCTAGGTGCTCACAGAAACAAAGAAAGAACAAACAAAAACTTTGTTGCCTAGGTGATTGACATTTGTCTTAAATATTTGCCTTAAATGACCGAGGCATTTTTTTTTTTATTATTTTTTATTTTTTTTAGGATTTTGGCCATAAGTCATGTGCGCTCACCAGAGACAGTGAGAGGGAAAGTGAGAAATCACCCAACCCTCACTGAGGGGACAGCCTACTGGAATCCCCTCTCCTCCATTCTCCTGAGATGCTGGGTACACAATTGCACCTGGCATGATTTTCAACCCACCAGTTCAGAGACTCAAACCAGTCGGCCATGTGGGAGTTGAATGCCTTAACTGTCACATCACCAGCTGGACCCTGGGGTAAAAGTTTTAAGTTGACACTTCATTCATGTTAAAAAGTTATTTCTGGGCAAATTGGTCTATTTCTTACCAAGATATGAAAGTTTGAAACAGGAGCAAGTCAGTGGTAACATGGTGGGTAAGGCATTTGGTGCCCGTATGACTGACCTTGCTGTTTGATTCTGGGACTCAACGGCTTGGAAAACACATCAGGTATTTGCACATGCATGCCCAAAATGCCAAAAGGAGGAGATGTGAAAGAGAAGGGATTGTAGCAAGACCATGCCCCATGAAGGCTGCTTTCTCATTTTTCATCTCTTTCTATCTCTCTGCATCCTTTGGCAAAATTTTAAAAAGGAAAATTTAATTTAAAAAATAAAGGTTAAAAGATATTATAAAACTTTCCTAGATTTTAATTTTTCTTTCCTACATTTTTCCTTAATTCACTAGAGGGTGCATGTGCTTACCAGAGAAAGAGAAACAGAGCGAGATGGGAAAATGAGAGTACATCCCCCATGTAGAATGGCCATGCTCTAATCCCTTTTTCTCCATTTCTCCTTTCACAATTTTGAGCGTGCGTGCACACAAGGCCAGTGTATTTTTCAAGGTGCTGGATCCAGACTTGAACTGTGCAATTGACCATGTGAGATCCTGTGGCCTTCACCATTATGCCACTGGCTGGGCCAGAATTTGGATATTTTAAAAAGATTATATAGGTCTCTGGTAAACAGAAGGGTAGAATGGTTTTCCACCTAACACCTTGTACTTAGAACATATTGGCCATGAAATTTGAGTCATTACTTTCTCGAGCCACAGTAGTACTTATAGCTTTATAACCAAACTTATTACAGTACAATTACCTGTTAGAATGTGTTCTCAGTGCTTTGTGGAGTGGCAGGCAGCAAACATTCACTTAATTGTGCTAGGTGCAGAGTCAGGGAGGTTGGTTGGGAGTAAGTAGGTGATCATTCTTGAACCAGATGTAGTCAAATTTTATAGTCTAAAGGAAATAAGCTTTAGCTATCCAGATTCCCAACACTAAATATCCTTCCTTTGTCATCAGGTATGTACATTACAATGATCAACATCCTAATGGCTGGTATATCTGGTAAGGATACTCCCCATTTGTTTTATGAAACATTTTGTGGTACAGACACACTTTTTCCTAAATAGTGCAAAACATCCCCCATAAAAGATGGTCATACCACAATCCCTTTTCCTCCATTTCTCCTTTCATGATTTTGGGATGCAAGGACCCATACCTGGCATGTTTTTCAAGCTGTATGGTCAAGACTTGAACTGTGCAGTTGCCCATGAGGGGTCCATTGGCCTTAACCACCATATCATTGGTGATTAAAATAGTTTGAGATGACTCCTGAGGTCATACAACTTACGGACACTTTAGAGGTCATAAGAACCAGTATCTAAAGAAACATCACATTCAGAGCATTGGCCAATGTTTACTTAAACATTTCTTGTGACAAGGATGCAACTATTTTAAAAAATAAAAGTTTACTCTATAGTTAAAGATCCTTAATGGTAAAATAATAATTCTTTCTCACAAAATTTCCCAAATAATTTCTCCACTAATTTTAGTTCTGGCCATAAAAACCATTCAAAATAAGACTTATTAGTAATCTTTTCTATGAGATAGCGCTTCAGAAATTTTAAAAAATTTTTTATTCCAAATGTTTACAACCTTGTATATCTTGACTTTTTTTAATTTTCCAAATTCAACTTTGTCAGTTCTCTTACTCAGATGGGTAGCTCCTCAAAGGCAGAGACCCTATCTTGTCTATCTTTAAGTCCCGAGCCCTGAAATCTAAGATACGCTCAGCTCCTGAAATGCTAGTTGAAAGAATGGATGGATGAATGGATAAAAGAAAGAATTAGTTAATTAATTAAGGAATCAGGACAATGGTTTTTAGAGTAACCCTCCAGTTTCCAAGAAGCAGATATTATCATCACCTGGCCAAATGGACCTTCTCTGAGGACCAAGAATATTCCAGGTTCAACAGAAATGTGTGCGTGGTAGGGAAGAATTGCTTATAGAGTTTGGCAACCAGTCTAGCTGGGTCCCTGCGTCTCCGCCAGGTAGTAGCTACAGCTCTAAGCTTCCCTTGCAGGTCTGCCTCACTCTGCTGCTACTTTGCCATCAGGTTCCTCCTGCTGATTTTCTCCGTGGCTCTTCTCTGTGGAGTGGTGCTCTGCTGCCTCCAGTGCTGGCTGAACAGACGCCAGGCTGATTCCCCGAGACGCACGGTGGCCATATTTACTGTTGGAGACTTGGATCCCATTTATGGTGAATGATCTACACATTTCTGGACTCCTCTTTGAAACTTTATGGTTTTGTGGTGAATTAAAAAAAATAACCTTTGAAAAGCAGAACTGTGAACTCAGAATAAAAATGGCTTTTTGGAGACTCAAAGACACTCAGAGAAGGAAGAGTTTAAGGGGGAAAACTTTAGAAGAAAGGAGGCCCTAGAAGAGTGGAGATCCCAGTGGAGTGTGGGGATAGAAACGATAATGTGTTCCGTCAACAAGAAGAAAAGAGACACATAGGACGGGACACTCCCAGTGAGGGGGCTTGAGGTGTACAGAAACATCTCTGAGTTTGATATCAGTCTATTCTACCGTGTATTCGTTATTTTATTTGCTATACTTTCTGTGCCTTACTTAACTCGTTTGAAGAAACAGGGACCCACACTTTCCAGGTTTTCTGCTGCTATTGTAGAGTCTGAAGTAATCAGAATTGGGCAGGGGCACGTAAATGCTCATGCCTTTTCACCCCAGAAATTCTGGTGGCATCCTTATTCCGTCTGCTCCCTACCCGCCACCCCTGACCATGTCTCTGTCATAATTTCCTGGTGTGTGAAAGGAGATAAGCAATGGAGGGACTTAAGACCTTAGAGTTATTTGTAATGGATAGCCTTGGGTAGAACAAGGTGATCACGTCCTGACCATGGAAACCCACCATGGTTTCCTTCATGTTAAGCTTTGTCTTCATCCCGAGACTGTCATGAGGCTTAACTCTAACGCTGCATTAGGTGCCACAGTTGCCTGAGGAGTGTTTGGGTAAAGCAGTAGCTGTCCCTCAGAAACTAAATAAAAGTGGGGTAAAAATAAACTAAAATGTTTTAACATCGAATTCTAGGACTCAGAGTCAGTGATTATAGTCACTACTCTTTAAAATCAAAAGTCATTACTTAATAAGGGCAACACATTACCAATTTGGGAAATGGTTATTTTGAGAAGGATAATTAAAATTTTCAATGACAATAGCTCTTTCTCCTAAAATCAAAAGCACTTTCCATGGAGAATAGTGAGAAATAGGGTCATTGACCTTCGAACAAAATATGTTAGTCAAAAATGCCAACATGGGCGGGAGCCAGCAGATAGCGCAATGGCTGTGTCGCTGAACTCCCACATAGTCAACCACGGTTCGAGTCCCGGACCCGGTGGCTTAAAACTCATGCCGGGCGCGTGTGCGTGCATGCCCAAGATCCCAAGAGGAAAATGGAGGAGAAGGGATTGCGGCGTGGCCATCCCCCCTGGGGGGGTGATTTCTTGCTTTCTATGTCTCTGTCTCTCTCTGTCTTTCTGGCGAGCGCACGTGCCCTATAGTGAAAACATTTCCAAAAAAAAAAAAAATGCCAACATGGTAACATCAGTCTATTTTTCTTTATTTAACTATTAGAAATATTCTATAAGTAAATAAAATGATATTTATTCCAACTAAATTTCAGTTTCTAAAGAGGAGAATGTGGTCTGCCTGTCTTCTACTTTGCTCATTCTGAGGAATAACTTTTAGTAGACTAGCTTGAATCTCAAAAGAATTATATTTTTATTTTTAACTATATTAATAAGTTAACCAGTTATACTATTGTAATTTTAAAGCAATTTTTGTGTCATGGTTATATTTCCATTTATTTAATGTTTTTATAGTTTCTGCATGTTTTTTTTTTTTTTTGGAGAGGTTTTTTCGTTATAGGGCGCGTGCGCTCGCCAGAGAGACAGAGAAAGACATAGAGACAGAAAGCGAGAAATCACCCCGGGGGGATGGTCACGCCACAATCCCTTCTCCTCCATTCTCCTCTTGGGATCTTGGGCATGCACGCAAACGTGCCTGGCGTGAGTTCTAAGCCACCGGGTCCGGGACGCGAACCGCAGTCGACTACGTGGGAATCCAGCGACATAGCCATTATGCTAACTGCTGGTTCCCTGCATGGTTTTTTACATATATGCTCTTAAACTTGCTTGAACAGGCCTTCGTGTGAGAGAAGGGTCAAGGCTAACATAGGACTTCAATAATCTGCCTGTGATAGCACTTAGGGCCAGACATTAGAATCACATGCCCTGCTGTTTCCCTGAGATCATCATGAATAGCATTTAAAAGGAGCACAATTTGAGGAGAACTGTTTTAAAATATAAATATATATGGTCACAATTTATTGCAAATTTACATAGTGCCAGGAAGTACACTGAGGCTTTACGTATGTTATTTTTAACTGCTAAATATCAGCTTAGGTAAGTGGCTTGTATTTCTCTTAGATAATTTTATTGACTTTGCTCCTCTGCTAGGTAAACACACATATGTAGATCTTTGTAGCAAGGCAATCAGTAGACCCTGCACTCCAGAATTGGAGGTTGGGAACCATTGGAAATTTGAACTGGGAACCCATGACTGGGCAGCTTGTTTCTTGACATTAAGTTCAGCCTCATATTCAGAACAATGCAACGTTTCCATAGGCTGACTCCTCAATTATAGAGTTTATACTTCAAAATCTTATTTCCATCCTCTGTCCTTTCTTTTCAATCCTACTAGTATAGCTTCTGGATCTTATTTTACTCAAGAAAGATTTATACTCTCTTCGAGCTTGAGTTGTTGTACAAAGTGCTGCTCTGTTGACCTCCATTGTGGAGGCCAAAGACTTCGTTGCCTCTGCCCATTTATTTTTCCTCTCATCTACACTGGGCTGGGTGTTGTGTGCCAGGAATGCTAAAGACAGTTTTATAGACAGTGAACAGCTGTTCAAATCTTTGCTGTCTTTGTTACTTCTGGTGTTGTGCTTTTTGGCATTCTTGTTTCTCCTCTTCAAAACAAAATACGAAAACATACTTTAGGCATCAGTGTGCTCTGTGAGCTCTAGTGACTTCTTAACTCATGATTTCTGGAACAAAATTCCAGCGAGGCCATATTTTAAGGCAGTCTGAAACACAACCAACACTGGATTTATCTCCATTATATCTTCAATTCTCCAGACAAATGATTCTTCCTACCTACTATTTTTATAAGAAGAAGTTGTTCCTCAAAAGGGAAGTTAGAGAACCACTAACTTTTATGATTACAGATGGGGATGTGGTTCAAAACCTCAACATCTACCTACACAGCCCCCAGAAAACATGTGCTCACAGCTTGAGGTGGAGTCCAACCATGACTTTTCCTTATAGTCACTGTTAAGTGAGGAAGAAGAAAATGCGAAATGCTTTAATGACACTGGCAACAGAACGAATGTGAAATAGGGATTCTGGTCTCTCTGCTGCCCTTTGAGCATGAAGGAGAAGATGGGATGAACATTTTTCATAAAATGTGTCTGTAGAACATGTTAATGAGGGGCTAGCAGGTGGTGTGGTGGTTAAGGTGATGTATTCCATATGGTTAACTGTGTGGTTTGAGTCTCACAGCCAGTGTGGGGTGGCCATCCTTCTTGTGGGGGTGATTTCTCACTTTCTGTCTCTCTCTGGTGGGTATATGCATTTCTTCAAAACTTATTTCACTTTATTACCACCATTTCCTGAATGTATTCATTGAGCAAGTTCTGTTCTTCTGATCTTTGGGTCAGAAGTTTGACACTCAGGATCTTATAGAAGTCATCTTCAACTAAGAGCTGAGAGGGATGTTTTGGCTGAATACAAAAGACTGGAGTTGATTAAACTATTTTATGTTAAAATATTTGAAACAGGAAAGTTTTCTCGGTATTTCTTGACACTATTATGTGGCTCATAATGTTTAATTGACAAAAAATATGAAAAGCTATTTGCTAATGATAATGTATCTAGTAATGTCTTTGTCTTGAATTATTTTCATGGTATTTGTGCTGGAAAAGCAATGTTGTACACTGTAAAGATATTTGTGATTAAATGTAAATTTAAAAAAAAATTTAAAAGAAAAAAGTTCTCGGGCGACCAGCAGGTGGCGTGGTGGTTAAGGTGCTGGACACTCCCACATGGCTCAGCACAGTTCAAGTCCTGGACCTGGTAGCTTGCTTCTTCACTTTCCCTCTCTCTTTCTCTCTCTCTCTCTGGTCAAATTTAAATAAATGCATGAATAAATAGAATTAAATAAAATATATCTTTAAAAAAAAAGAAAAAAGTTCTTGAGGTAAAAAATACTAAAGTGAGAAAAGAAAACATTAGTCTTGGGATCCTTTGTTAGCACAACCTATCCCAATGTCTGATGGGCTTTCCTATTTGGGAAAGGTCCTTGGAAAAATCTCAGATGCCAGGAGCATCTCTCCGGCCAACGATCATGACTTCTCACAGCACTATGCTAGTTCAGTGCTCTGCTCTCTGAAGAAAGGTCTTCCTTTGCCTTCATAGGATTTATGCCCCTGAGTGGTGAACTCTAAACTCCAGGGCTTCACGGAATTTATTGGGCTCAGAGAAGAGACTGCCACTTACTGCACTCAAACATCACCTTAGATGACCTTGATGTCATGATGAAGCTCTTTACCTCCCAGAAACAGAGAAATGACCCATCTTATCTCCCTATCACGAGTGGAATTTTGTTTGGGTTTAATTTTTACTATCGGGCTTATTCGCTCACCAGAGAGAGAGACAGACAGACAGAGAGAGACAGAGAGACAGAAAGTGAGAAATCACCCCCCAGGGGGAATGGCCACACCGCAATCACTTCTCCTCCATTCTCCTCTCGGGATCTTGGGCATGCACACACATGTATCTGGCATGTTTTTCAAGTTGCAGGGTCCAGGACTCGAAGCACAAAGTTAGCCAAGGGGCATCCAGCTGACTTCACCATCATGCCACAGGCTGGCCTTGGCTGATTTTTAGCTTCTCCAAATTTATATGTTTAAATTCTAAAGCCTAATACCTCAGAATATGTCTGCATTTGAAGATAGAGTCTTTAAAAGCTAATTAAATTAAAATGAGGCATTGGCATGGACCTTAATCCAATATGACCAGTGTGCTTATAAAACAGAGATTAGCACACAATCAAGCTCAGAGAGAAGATATGTAAAGACACAGGGAGAAGATGGCCGTTTACCCACCAAGAAAAGGGGCCTCAGAAGAAACCAACTCTGCTGACACATTGATTTTGCACAGCTAAGTCTATAGAGTTATGAGAAAATAAATTACATTGTTTAAGGCACTTATCTATGGTAGTTTGTTTTAGTAACCTCACAAGCGAACATACTGCACTCGGAAGGTAAAGAGGAAAAGGAGGTGTTATCAAGAGAAAGGAGGCTAGAGGGAAGTCAAGGAAAAGGAAGAAGATGAGGAGTAAGAGGAGGAGCAAGGGAATATACAATTTGAAGTTGGAGATCATTCAAGAACTAAAATTAAAATCTGTTCATTTTATATAAGTCATATAGTGTTTTTTGTTCCCTTCATGTCCACGTCCTCTTTATAAGGACCTGGAATCTCCTAGGTAATCGTCTGTGCTCTTCTTATCATCCTGACCCCACCTCGCTTTCTGGATAGACCTTTCTTTACCGTTTTCTGCTGCACAAAGCACATTCATACCCTTAACATCTTCCTGAATGAGATCATTCACCATGTGATTTCTTAGAACTTCATGGTCTCTTCTCTTAACCAACAGAGACTGACAATTCTAGTATTATTTGAGTCTTTTCATCAGTGTCTGTCCTAGGGGTAAAAAATTACTTCTTCTTTCAATGCTTTCTTGTCTTAGTGTCTTCCCTATGTTAATAATACCATTGGTATTCTTCCAAAGTGATCATTCTAAAGGAAACGGCAGATTTGCCACCAGTGTTTTATTTCTCTCAGAGATAGAAATAGAGAGGAAGCATGCACATGGGGCCGCCGAAAATGATTTCTTTAAAGAACTGTAAGTTTTAATAAAGATGATGAGAAAATCATTAAAATTCTTACGTAACCATCTGCATCTCAAACTTTATCATGTGTGAATATTGCTTTCACTTCATACAATTGAGGACTATAAGGTGGGGCTGAAATAGAAATTACAGGTGATTTTTAAAAAAAGAAACAAAGGAATTTCAGTTTAATCATTTCATTTTTAATTTGTGTTTAGAAGGTAGGTAATGTCAAAGGAGTTTTAAAGTTTACTCTAAAAACAAATAGCAACAAAAAGAAACTCAAAGGTTTAATTTTCATTCACTAAAAAGGATAAAAATAAACTTTCATTGAAAATAAGTTGAGGGACCAGTGGATGGCATATTGCTTAATCCACTGGACTCCCACATAGTCAACTTCAGTTTGAGTCCTGGACCCAATAGCTTAAAACTCATGCTGGATGTGTGTGCATGTGTGCCCAAAATCCCAAAAGGAGATTGGAAGAGAAAGAATCGCAGCATGGCCGGCCGCCCAGGTGGGTGGGTGGTTGGGGGAGTGGTGATTTCTTGCTTTCTGTCTTTCTGTCTCTCTCTGTGTCTCTGGCAAAAGCAGGCATCCTATAGCAAAAATCTCTTTCTCAAAAAAAGTAATAAAGGGGGAACCAGCAGTTAGCGTAATGGCTATGTTGCTGGACGCCCATGTAGTCGACTGCGGTTCGCGTCCCGGACCCGGTGGCTTAAACTCACGCCGGGCGCGTGTGCATGCATGCCCAAGATCCCGAGAGCAGAATGGAGGAGAAGGGATTGCGGCGTGACCATCCCCTCTGGAGGGTGATATCTCGCTTTCTGTCTCTCTGTCTCTCTCTGTCTGTCTAGCAAGTGCACGCACCCTATAGCAAAAAAATCTCTCCAAAAAAAAAAAAAAGTAATAAAGGGAATGAAGTTTGGGTTTTGGGAGGTGAGAGAAAGATAAATGGACCTCAAAGGAAAGAAAAACAATCTAGTGACCCTTGGGAAAGAGAGCACTTGAGAGTGTAGGAGGGGTATTCCACCATTACTTGTCCTTGTTTTAACAAAAAATAATAAATTACCATAAAATCTACATCAGTGTCCTTTTGCCATGATCACACGTAGTCTCTAGTTGTAGCTGAAATCCTCTTTGCTCTAGGAAGTCTTCCCAACAAGAAAGACAGCTGGGTGAGGGCCTCAGAGACACCCCTCTTGGGAAGTCTCATGTGGGCTTCTCTCCCCTCAAGGCTAATATCCTCAATAATAAAACCCTCAAACTGTATCATCGGCTTGACATTTTTTATTATGTGACTTCAGAGGTGACTTTCCATTTTCCTTAATTCAGGGAAAATAGCAATCCTCCTAACACTGATTAAGTGTGAGTGCTCTGAGCTGGAAAGAAAGGACAACTAGAGAGAGAACAGGAAACAAGGCCTTCTACAATGTGTTGAAGGACAACTAGAGAGAGAAGAACAGGAAACAAGGCCTTCTACAATGTGTTCTTCTCCCACCAGCTCTCTCAGCGTTTGACCGTTTACCTTGGAATCCTTCAGAAATGGCATTTCTCTATGTTTTGTATTCTACATGTAACTATTCCGTTACTTATTTAGATAAAAGAAGAGGAAGTGTTTCATTCCCACACTCTGGTGTGACAGCATGATGATAGTAATGGCTCATATTAACTGAACATTTACTAGGAGCCATGCCCTAGCGGCAGCATGATGATAGTAATGGCTCACATTAACTGAACATTTACTAGGAGCCATGCCCTGTGCTGACATTTGACATTCTGATCTCATTTACTCTTGTTTGCAACTCTGTGAAGTTATGCAATCATTGCTAACGCTCTACAGGTGAGAGAACAGATGCGCTTGGAGCATAAGCAATAGAGTTTGTAGGTGGTAGAATTGTCACTCAAATTCAGGTTTTTCAACCACTCGGATATACAATAAAATAAAGAAAGGAAAAGAGAAGAGAGAGATAGAAAGAACATACTAAAATAAGTAAAGTCCGTTGGTGTGATACCTAAATTCTGGCTATGAGAACTCAGTGGTAAGTGTATTGATTTTAGGAAACTAAAGAATAAATATTAATACTTTAACCAGCACTTTTGCAAAATGATAGGATTTTTCTATGTATTTTTAAATGAGTTCTTTTGGGTTCTTAATTGGTCAAAAGATAAAAGAAATGCCTATGTCTCCACCTTCTCTCCTTCTCAAGTGACCAATTTATGGAAGAAAATATTTATTTTTGATATTTAATAGCTTGCCCATATCTAGAAACTAAGAAAGTTGATTTAAACGTATATTATATGTACATATTTTTTCATCGTTCATGATAGAGCATGTTCATGCTCACATGAGAGTGAGTAAGAAAGAAAAAGGAAGATGAGAGGTGAGAATCCCCGCAGGGTCTGTGTAGCTGTGACCCCTTCCTCCAGTTCTCCAGTCTGTTGGGTCCCGGGTACCCGGTGTGTGCCACACGTGTCTTGGACTGACTGGGCAGGGGATTCAAACCGTGGTTGCTATGTGGGATCCAGCTTTTCTGGAGCAACACACCATTGGTGCAACACAGAGCTGGTTCCCATTTTGATGTATTTTTTTAAGTTTTAGAATATTTTCTTTTTATTGTGTAGATATGCGCTTTGCATGCAAACCTTTCACCCTTTCATATTTTTCTACTATTTATACTATTTAGAGCATGTTCAAAGAAGTTATTTTATTAGTTGTAGTTTGCAAGCATAAATATAAAATAGTGACGTTTAGAAAGTGATATTTAATGCTTCTACTGGGACTCGCATTTCTCATGATAAGAGAATTAGCTAATATGCTACTAGAGTTCAGTGGGTATTTCTTCTCATTCCAATCGCTAACTTGTGACGGTACCACGATAGGTTGGTCCATGATGACGTCACCAGTTCACGCAGGCAAGTTTCCTTGTTTAGTGACTCTAATTGCAGAGAGCAAGATGGTTATAATTTTGTTTTTTTCTTCAAGGGTACAGATAATTTTCTGTTACTCCAGTGATCCAAAAAAATGCCAGGTTTTATCAGGCAGTTCGAGTACTTCTGTTTCATACTGACTTGAAAGATTACAGTGCTGCATCCTTCTCATTTCAGGAACAGAAGCAGCTGTGGGTCCCACTGTTGGAATTCACCCTCAAACCGGAAACCCTGATCGGTGTTCTGGTCCACGTTTTGGCACTGTAGGCCCCCCACCTGCATATGAAGAAATTCTAAAAACAAGCCAATTTTAAGTCTAGAGCATCAATCGAATGTACTAGAAATAATTGTTCAAAAAAAAAATGAAAGAAAAAATTGTAATGACAGAACATCAAATTTAGGAATAATTCTTTTACTTAATAGTGGTGATCTATGGATCTAATCTGAAAAATGAATATACACAAAATCAACATAGGAAAGGAACTTGGGTCCCAGAGAAGTCTCAGTACTGAACTGTTGGACTCTGGATGTCTCGGCCCTGTTATCCTTTAATGCTACCCAAGCAAGTTTTGCTGCACTACCCAAATGGCAGGAATCAGATGCCGGGGGAGTCCCCGTTGATTTGGCTCTTACTGCAGCACACGTCACACCATCTCTGTTGCCGTATTATCATCTTTATCTTACCTCTTCTTCACATGGAGTCAATAAAAATGATCACAATTTAACACTAGCAGAAATTTAGACATGCCAAACCCATAACCCAAGTGACAAAATCTGAATCAGGGTAAAGAAAGAGAGAAGTAAAAAGAAAAGTTTAGAGTTGAAAAGTGAAGAATAAATGAAAACAATTTCAAGTCTCAGCCCAGGTTTTGTGCCTCAGCCAGAGGAGGTGAAGGAGCTGAGACTGTTGTAACACATGGGGTGTGTGTGATGTCAATATGGGGAGAGAGAAAGGTCCTACTTTACACGGCTCCATGCGAATCCAGGGCCCACAGTCTTTCTCTAGTGCCTCAGAGCTTAGCACTCACTTGAGCACTGTGAGGAGAACCTTCCGCACAGGTGTCAGTATTCCCACTATTACCACAGAAGTGGCACTGAGACATCGCAATTGGCACTTTGGCAATAACCATCAGCAAGTGGAAGAGGGGAATAGGAAAATAAATTCTTGGCAGATACCAAATGTTCTCCAGTGGACAAATTTGTTGAACAAAATAACAAATATCTCCACTTGGTTGCCAATAGATATTTCAAATTGAACTTGATCAAACATCTATCAAACCTCTTTTCCCAAACCTATTGTACACCATCCTCTCCCATCTCAGTCTGTGGTAACTGCCACCTTCCTGTTCTTCAGGCCAGGCAATGGAGAGTCATACTTGAGTGTTCTCCGAAACTTCCTACACATACTTTGTGAGGAAATCTTGTTGATTCCATCTTCCAAATATTCCTAGATGCCAAATCCTTCCTGTCTAACATCTCAGGTGTGAGCCATGAGAATGAATGAGATGGACACAGATGACTTTCATAATTGACTGGGGTTTTAAGTTTCTCCACTTTACCAAGTTCTTCTGGGAAGAAACTGAGAAGAACTAAGCAAATCTATGCTTCGGGGATCTTCAGAGGCCTAAGGACTAGAAGGAGGGGGAAGAGAATACTGGGAATGATAATGAAGTTAATCTACAAAATGAAAAAAATTCAGCTTCCCAGGAAAGAGTCCATTTAAATGAGAGCATGACAGCAAAGAGCTGCAGGAGAATAAGAGGAATAATTAAAGAAAAAAATATAATGTAAATATGGTGATAAATTAATGATTGACAAATATGAATAAAAAAAGGCAATTATGAACTCCATAAAAAACAAAAGTTAGATGAATTAAACATGTGATTAAGCATGTATTCATTATAGTAATCAATACATGATTATTTTATAATAGTTAATAATTATTTACATTAATAACATAAATAATTGATAGTATTAAAATCAAAATTGTTAACTTAATTAAAATTAATTCAAATACTTATAAAATATGTGTTATTCATATTGACAAACTAGGCAGAGGGATAATGAAGGAAGGTGATGGGATTTATTAAGGATATATTAAGAACCCTAAAAGGCCCACCCCATGGCCTGGTGATTAAGAAAGTTGGATCCCTCATGACTGACCTCACAGTTCAAATTCTGGTACATAATATAGCAAAGATATAGTTTAAAATTAAAAGTTAACAAAGAAAGTCATACTATAAAGAAAGAAAAAAACATTAAACATAAAAACATTAAACAACATTTTCAAGTGATAACACTATAGATGTGCATTAATCTACAATTGCATTGCTGATGGAAATATCTGAGAATGGATTATTTATAAAGAATAGAGGTTTATTTGAATTATGATTAGAGTATCTCAAAAGTCCAAAGGTGTGAGCCTGGGATCAGGCTAGCTCCATCACTACAGAGCCAACAGAAAGAGAGAGGATGGTAGGAAAGACTGTGCAGAGAGAATATGGTCTCTGTTCCACATTGATCTTTATTTGTCTCATTTTCTCTCCTTAAAAACCCACCAAGACTCTGAGACCTGCAGATGGCATAATGGTTACATCACTAACCTCTCACATGGTAGATTATAGTTTGAATCTCAGACCTGGCAGCTTAAAACTCAAGTTGAGCATGTGTGTGTGCACACCCAAAATCCTGAGCAGAGAAGGGAGGGCTGATTTCTCCCTTTCCATCTCTGTCTCTCTCTGTTTCTCTGACAAACACACACACCCTCGAGCAAAAACATCTCTAAAACAAACTAAACAAACAAACAAACAAAACCACCAAGACTGGGTCATTGTGGCCTGGCCGTAAAGTACCCAATCACTAATTTCCTCTCAAAGGCCTTATCCTTTTACTCTGTAAGTAGGTCAAGGTTTTTTCCTCTTAACTCTGTTACAATGACTCAACATACAAATTTTCAGGGGACAGATTTGAACTATAGCAAGGTGATTTTATTTTATTTTATTTTATTTTTTATTTGAAAGAGGGCATGTGAGTTTGTAGGAGAGAAATAGAAATTGAGAAGGAACGTGAGAAAGAAGCCTCCCCGCCCCATAGGAAATGATCATACTACCATCCTTTCTCCTCCATTTCTCCCTTCTTTCAAGATTTTGGGCACACACACTCTTGCACCCAGTGCGTTTATCGAGCCCCCAGATCCTGGGCTTGAACTGTGCATGGGTCATGTTGGTATAGTCACCTTAACCAATATACTGCTAGTTGGCCCAAAGTGGTTTTATTTTTTATACACATTTCTAAAACTGTCTAAGTCTCCAACAATGTGTATATAATACTTTTCTAATTGAGACTTCTACAAACTTTTGTTTCAAAAATAGATACAGGGCTGGCCTATGGTATGGTGTTTAAGATGGCTGAACCCCACATGGCCAACTATGTGATTTGAGTCTTGTACCTGACAGCTTGAAAAACATGCTGGGCTTGTGTGTACATGACCAAAAATCTGGAAATAAGGGAGAAACAGAGAAGGGTTGTAGCATGATCATCCCCCATGGAAGGTGCTTTTTCACTCCCTCTCCCTGCAAGGACATGAGCCCTCTGACAAAATTTAAGACAATTAATTAAATAAATAAATAATAAACATAAACAATTTAACATATGGGAAAATATGAGCTCTGTGAGGGTATTTAACTTGTCCAAGGTGCACTAATTAGTGTGACAAAACTACAGACTAAGTGTTTTGATCTTTCAGTTCCTGCCTCAGGTATCTTTCCGCTATGATCTACTAACTTCAGAAGTGACTATGAAAATAAAGATTAAAGATTGTGGGTGACATAGTAATTACACTCAGTGTGTTTAACAAGTCCCCAGATCCCGGGCTTGAACTGTGCGGTGATTAATTATAAGATACTCATTTTTTTTTTTTTTGGAGAGATTTTCACTGTAGGGCGTTCGCCAGACAGACAGAGAGAGACATAGAGACAGAAAGCGAGAAATCACCCCCCAGAGGGGATGGTCACGCTGCAATCCCTTCTCCTCCATTCTCCTCTCGGGATCTTGGGCACGCACGCACATGCGCCCGGCGTGAGTTTTAAGCCACCGGGTCCAGGACACGAACCACGGTCGACTACGTGGGAGTCCAGCGACATAGCCATTACGCTAACTGCTGGTTCCCGATACTCATTATTATTTGTAATTTTCTTTTAGCCCACTGTGTTGCTAACTGAAGTACCTGAATCTGGGTGATTGACAGAAAACAGAGGTTTCTTTAGCTCACAGTTTTGGAGGGCAGAGGTCAAAGGGCTGCCTCTGATGAGGATCTTCTTGCTGGTGAGGCCCTGAAGTGGCACAGGTAGGAATGGAGCAGGGCATACGTGTGGTGGCCTATGTGTTCGTCTAATCCCCTCTCTTGGTAAGCCCACCAGGATTCAGTCATGGAGGCCCCACCTGACACCCTTAGTCCTAATCAGTCCCAAGGGCCCACCTTTTAACATCATGATCAGTCTAAGTGTTCACCCTCTCCACACCATTATGACGGCTCAGCAGATTTCAGTGCCCATTTTGGGGAGATACATTCAAACCAGAGTAGCTTGTATCCTAAAATTTATTATTAAAATTTATTCCACTTAAGCAGTGAGCAGTGGTTACTATTAATACCTAGAAAACACTTGTAGACACAAAGCTAATGATTTAGTAGCTAGATTTTGCCCAAGACATTAGTGAAAGTCAGAGCTGAAGTCTCAGAATTTATTTTTAAGTTACTTCTATTTATGTGACAGTGGAAGTCTAATTGAAGTACATGGTTTGGTTAGTTGGCTTAGTTTGAGGCAGCAGGAGAGGAAGAGTGGAGAGAGGATGTGGGTTGGTCATTTGGGCTCATAGAAAAAGTTTATTTTCAAAGTAAAATTTCTGACAAAGATCTTTTAACAAATATCACAAGCTACATTTTCATTTAATGTTAAAATTATTGATAACTATTATGTGTTAAGTACTGTACAAAGTTGTAGAGATTTCTGCAACAAACTGTTATTATTACTTTTAGTGATATTGGAGATTCTACCAGTTTTTTCTTTTTTTTAAGATTTATTTATTTATTTATTTATTCATTCATTCATTTTAATTTAACCAGAGAGAGACACACACACACACACACACACAGAGAGAGAGAGAGAGAGAGAGAGAGAGCGAGGAAAGTGAGAAAGCAAGCCACCAGGTCCAGGACTTGAACCCCAGTCGGCCATGTGGGACTGTCCAGCGCCTTAACCACCACGCCACCTGCTGGTCCCATCTACCAGTTTTTTCATTTGAATAGCAGGTGATCAATGGAAATGTCTCTGACCTGCAGACAGACTTGAAAGTTCTTTATGGTTCACTATAAACTCTTGGAAATAGTAATATAATGACACTAATTTTGACTTTATGATTGTCATGACATTTCAAAGAGAAATTTTAAATGATAGATAAAAAGATTTTAAATTTTAAAAGACAGATTCTTCTCTGTTGTCTCAACTCTGAAAATCTTTGCCTGCATCTTATTCTTTAACATATCTTTAAACTTCTATTTAAACTGGGTATCTTAGATTTTAATTCTAACAAGACTGACTATTTTTTTCTTCTGATGTTAAAGAGTGTTCACCTTTTAAATAAATGAAAAATAAAATTTTTTTTTTAAATTGGGAAAGGGTACTGTTCTTTCTCCAAGCATCCACCAGGGGGCATGAAAGTCTACCTGTGATTCCAGCCCATTAGCTAGATTTGATTTAATGACTAAATGAAACCATGAAGTTGAGTTGCTGTTGATAACAGATTTTTGACAGGCCATAACAGAATACAGTAATAATAAT